TCAGATAACAGGAATTGCTCACTCCACTTAACTTGTCAGTAAACCATACACTTCGTTTTACTCCGTTCCTGGTAAAGTCAAAATGCAGAATTACAAGATTATTATAAAATGAAACCAGACATGTTATTGGAACAATTGGAACGACTTGCAAGACGAAAAATGCACAAGTTAAAAGATTTGCTTGAATACGCTTTGACAATCGAAAATCTCCTCAAGATGGCAATGATTTTACTTAGATCACGTGCTAATATTCCAGTAGTCTGTTGTGGTGAAGCTGGTTGTGGAAAGGTTAGAATTATGCATTAATATTAATGTTTTTATTTTTTTTTCACATATGTATGATAATAATACGTGTGATTTTACTTGAATTTGTTTTTAAATTTTAATTTTAATAACTTAATCATTATAGACAAGTTTAATCAGCTTTTTATCAATGGTTATGGAAGTTAATTTTCGCGCATTAAATCTTCACGCGGGAGTTCATGAGAGTGATATTCTAGAATTTATGGAAAAGGCTACAGAGCTTGCGAGGGAAAGTGAAACCTGGATCTTCTTGGACGAAATAAATACATGTGATCACATCGGAATGCTTGGAAGTCTGATTTCACACAGACTTCTTAATGGAAAACAAATACATCCAAACATCAGAATATTTGCTGCCTGCAATCCTTATAGATTAAGAGCTAAGGCACAAAGTAATGTGGGTTTGTCTGCAAGATTATACGAAGAAAAAGGAAAATTGGTTTACCAAGTACACCCGATGCCTGACCAAATCCTAGATTATGTCTGGGACTATGGTCATCTTAAAGCAGAAGATGAACGAAACTACATAGAGATTATGGTGAAAACACAATTAAACCATCCATTTTTTGCGGAATTATTATGCGCATCACAAGCATTTATTCGTGATGTTGAAGAGCCATTTAGCGTTAGTCTGAGAGATGCAAAACGTGCGATCAAACTTTTCAAGTTTTTTAAAGATAAATTTAATAAATTAAATAGTACACAAAATAGTGGAATTCTTGAAACTCGTTCATTGGTTTTGGCACTTAGTCTATGTTATCTTTTTAGACTCCATGATCAATCTCAACGTAAAGAATATCGAAAAAAAATGATTAATATTATAGGAAAATATCAAACAATCAATGATGAACCTAGAAACCGATATCGACAAGATAAAGATTTTTTTGAAAGAATAATTTCTCTCGAACAAGATAATTATATTAGCCGTATGCGATGTCCTGAAGGAACTGCAGCTAATGAAGCACTTTTAGAAAATATTCTTGTAATGATCGTTTGTATACAAACACGAATCCCTGTTTTCATAATTGGTGCACCGGGAAGGTGAATATTATCTTAATTCCTTTTGTGAAATCCTAGTAATTTTAATTTGAAAGTATTCTTACATATAAGTTTTTTTTTATAGTTCAAAATCTTTAGCAGTGCGCATTATCAGTATGAATCTTCGAGGAGCAGATTCAAATGATCCTTATTTCCGAAAATTACCTCAAGTGTATATGATTCCTTATCAGGGTTCAAGTTCGTCGACTTCTGATGGAATTACAAAAGTTTTCCAATCTGCTCAAAATTATCAACATACTAGTTCCAAAGAAAATCCCGTTACCGCTGTCGTTCTTTTGGATGAAGGTAAACAAAATGAACAAAATGAACAAAATGTCATTATTGTCATTCTGTTATGTAAATTTTATAAATTTCATAAATTTCATTACATATTTTTCAGTTGGCCTTGCAGAAACCAGCCCATATAATCCTTTGAAAGTACTTCACGCTTTATTGGAGCCACCTCTTGGTTCTAAAAGTAGTGAACCGGCCGTTCCAGTTATTGGAATCAGTAATTGGCGATTGGATAATAGTAAATCCAGTCGAGCATTATTGGTTCAACTAGTGATGGGAAAAATGCGCATGAATGCGCATTAATGCGCATGAAACGTAAAATGCGCATGATACCGCATGATATAAATTCTCTTTTTTCT